TGGGTGAGCTACTTAATATCACTTCTAGGAGTTCTGCCATATAGCAAAGAAACCGATTCTTAGAATTTCAATATCTGCTGCCTGAAATAACATAAAAACGTCTTAATTAGGCAGAAGCAAACACCTGCTCAAATGTTAGTGATCACTGGAGAGCTAGTTTACATGCATACAAACACATTCGAGCAGTAGCATGGATGCAAATCCCGCAGACTACAAAAGAAGAGATTATCATTGACTTTCTCACATTGCTTTGGTTGGTTTCAGTATAGCAATCTGTTTTTGGATTTTTAGTCACTTTGGTTGGCAATTGTTCATGCTTCACATCCCTTGTGACACTGCTTAATTTGTTAAGCAAAAGGCTATTTCATTTTGTATTTTCTATTTTGATCTATCCCAAATTATTTATATCTTTCCTATTTAGTCATATTTAGTGGTTCACAATCAATCATATAATGAAGAGGTATTTACCTAAATAGGAATAAATACATCTTTAATTGCTAAAATAGGAGTAAAGTTAAATATTTCCCCAAACAGGACTAAATGTTTGTAGTTGGACAGATATGCCCTGAAGCTTGCCTTAACTTACTGCTGCCGACAAATACTAGACCGCCGGCGTTCGCTGCCGCCCACCTCCGCTGCCACAGAATTGGTCGCCGCTACAGATCTGACCGTTGTCCCTACAGATCTGGCTGCTGCTGCCGTAGATTTGTCCAGATCTGGCCGCCTCTGCATATTTGACAGCCACCACTTCAGATCTGAGCTCCGTCGTTGCGGATTCGTACTCCGCCAGTGTAGATTTGACCGACCCTGACGCTTATGACAAAATTTTCATTAGAATGCCAACATGAATTGAGAATGCCATATGAATCCTTAGAAGGAATGATACAAGATCAAAAGAAGTATAACATTATCTCATTTTTTAAATAAAAACAATCACAAACACTCTAAATCATTTCATAACTTCATGGTGCATATATAGAATGCAAATAATAAGCGAGATTTATAAACTATTTTCATATTATAAATGAAGCAAATAATAAACATTAAACACATGTAGAATGCAAAAATAACTAAATATTATAAGTATCTTTTACGAAAACTGTCAAATAAGCCGGCTAAAAGTTAAAATTGAGTGTTTTTTATAGTTCAAGGACTTATTTGATAGTTTTTCCCTACTTTCATTAATATTACTTCCATCTTGTTAAATATATCAAAACCTCATACTCGAAATTATAATAATTTCGTACTTTGTTACAAAGAATCATCACCACAATCTTGTTATGATTTTATTATTCCGTGCTAAACGATTCTATCGGGACTTTGCATAATTTTATGTTGTTACTATTTTGCGATTGCGAAGTGCTCAATTCTTAAAATTACACTCCGTACGATTTAGTACGAAAGTTTGATACAGATTACAGAACTAGGGGTGGATTCGGTTCGGGCCACCCGGCCCGACCCGCTACTGTTCGGGCCCAGGACCGGCCCGGTCTGGCGGTCCAGGACCGGGTGTAGACCCGAAGCGGTGGGGATGGGCGGGGCAGGCTCGGTTCCGGAAATAGTTGACCCGGCCCGGCGGGGTCGGGCCCGGGTCCAGGTCCAACGGTCACTTTTTAAAATAAAAAAATTGTTTTGGGCCAAAATAGCCGTTGGGGGTGGGCTGCAGGGGGTCCGGGGGGTTTGGGGGTGGGGGGGGTGGGGTAAAAAACCTATAAATACTCCTAATCTAAAACATTTTTTCATATCTCTTCTCCAATTCTTCCTAAATCCTATTCTTAACTCTCTACTCTCTAATTCTCTTATTCTCCGATATATTATATTTATTATTTATATATCTACTTTATATTAATTATCTACTTATAATTTATAAATACATACATTATAATATTATATTACTTATATTTGTTATCTAATTATATATTACTTATACATTTATTATATCTATTAATATAGTTGGAATTATATCTAATTAATTTGAAGTCATTCTATTACTCCCATCCGAAAGACCGAAAGTTCGAAAGAGGTACGAAATCATTCTATTATTTACACTTGTTTGATTTTGTATTAACCTTACTTGAAAAACAAAACTAGTTAATTCTCATAATAGTTAAAGTTAAACTATAATAATTTGATTGTTAGTAAAAAAATAGGTTGTACAAAAAACTAGTTGTAATTCTCATTATAGTTAAAGTTAAAGTGTATTAATTTCATTGTTAGTAAAAAAATAGGTTGTACACAAAACTAGTTAATTCACTAGTTAATTTGATTAAAGTAAACTTTAAAATACTAATTTGCTATAACTCGAATTAATAGTTAGATTAATAGTTAATTACTTTATTACAATTTTTTATTAATTGCTACATTTGACTCTAGTTTAAAAAACTAGTTAATTCTCATTATAGTTAAAGTTAAAGTATATTAATTTCATTGTTAGTAAAAAAAATAGGTTGTACACAAAACTAGTTAATTCACTAGTTAATTTGATTAAAGTAAACTTTAAAATACTAATTTGCTATAACTCGAATTAATAGTTAGATTAATAGTTAATTACTTTATTACAATTTTTTATTAATTTGCTTTACGACGATGTGGAGGAAGTAATTCCGGAGAGCCACGACGACGGGGAGGAGGAGGGTGGCGGCAGCCATGACGCCGACGAGCCTGCCTCATCCCAAACCGGTACCAAAAAAAGTAAATCTGAACTAATGTCTAATAATTTTTCTAAGTGGAAGGACCCGAACACCGGGAATTGAACCGCAACTTGCAATTGGTGCAAGAAAAACTATAGCTTGGGAATTTCCGGCGGATACGGATCCGCCACAAGACATCTTAAGTCCAAACACCCGGTGGAGTATGCAAAATTAGGCGGCGGAACGGGGAAGCAAACTCAAATATCGAGGTTTGCAAATAACCAACAAGCTTTTGGTAATTTCTCATACAATGATGCACAAAATTTGACTGGTATGGCTAACTTACTTGTTGAAGAAAATTTGCCTTATTTGTTTTCTGAAAGTCTTACTTTTCGTGATTATGCACAAACTTGTTTAAATCCGCAATACAGAGGTGGTATAGTCGCAAAACGGTTAAGAAAGAAATTTCAAGGCTTTATGGTGCGGAAAAGGTAAGGTTACAAAATTATTTTGCAAACTTTGATATAAGTTAATTGGAGTTCTTCTTAGATATAAACAACATTTTCCTGCTTTTATGAAAGAATATGATAACTATATTATAAACTCGGCTGAGATCGACACCTGTGAAAAAATTTGTAATGCTTTGATATATTTTAATAATGCAACTGAAACTTTTAGTCATGTTTATAAATCTACCTCAAACCAATTTATTCGTGAAGCTGTTAATCTCGCCGGTGCTTTTTCAAATTTTGAGAATGCTGATTATGTGAGTTATTTTGCTAGTTTTATGAAGGAAAAGTTTTTAAAATATTATTCACATATTCCGCATATTTATGGTATTGCATTTGTTCTCGATCCTCGTTTTAGACTTGGTTCTATAGAAGAATGTCTGAATTATTATTATGCTGCTTTTTTTGGTCCATTGCCAACGTATGAGGACAACCCAATTGATCCGAAAAAAGAATACAACAAGGTTAGTGATATATTTTATGCATTATTTAATGAGTTTCATGCACAATATGGCAATGCGCCCCCTCCCCCGACACAAACATCATCTAAAGGAAAATCAATTTTTGAATCTACATTTGCCAATCTTATTAAAAAACGAAATCAACTCCTGCTACGCAACAAAGCACAATTAATGAGATTTCTTTGTATTTAACATATGATGTTGATTTTGAAGAAGATGATGATATTGACGTACTAAACTGGTGGAAGGGAAAAGAAAGAATGTTCCCGGTTTTAGCAAAGATGGCTAAGCAAGTGCTATCAATGCCGGTTTCAATGGTTGACGTGGAACAAGAATTTAGTTCAGCCGGCAATGTCCTAACGCAATGTAGAACGAGGTTGAGCGCAGAATCTCTTGAGATGCTTATATGCTACCACGATTGGTTGAAAGCGGCCCGTAGAGCTCAAGAAATTGACATCACCCCATCCCAACACTTTATGGATGAATCTACAACCGAGGGTGGCTCTACCTATGTCAGAGATTCCGATTGAATGATTGATTAGTATTTCATGTTTTAATTTTACCTTCAATTCTCAATTGTAACTTGTAAACTTGTAGTTCATATTTCAAATAAAAATACGTTCATTTTTTTATATGTAGCATTTTTTTTTTGAATTCATAAAATTAATTAATTAATTTAACATTATGTAATTTATTCAAAATAAAACATACAAAAAAAAATTGAAATCAAAATTCAAAAGCCCCAAACGGCTCTATTGAAATTTGAATCAATAGAGGCATAGTGTCGTTGGGGGTGGGGGTGGGGGTGGGTGGGAGTGGGGCTACAAAAAATTCTATAAATACTCTTATTTTCTAACATTTTTATACACATCTTCTCCAACATCCAATCTCTAATCTTCATCTCCATCTATTGTAGAATTATTATATCTACCATTTTTAAGATGAAAAGTCAAGATGCCGTTATACGGTATAATTTTGATAAGCAGAAGAACTCGAAGACCGGGATGTGGTACGCAACTTGCAAATGGTGCGGGAAAAAATGTAGCATGAGGGTTTCAGGCGGATACGAGATGACAATGAAGCATATTAAGTCATGTGACAAAGCCAAAGGATCGGGAGGTGCGAGAAGTTCCGATTGATTACAATTTACAAAATGTACGTCTGTTTACAAAATGTATTTCATTTCAAATAAATGCACTTGAAGTTTGTTTTTAATACTTGTATAAAACTATAAAGTATAAATTATAAAAAAAATACTTTAACCAGCCCAGCCCGGCAGGTGGCCCGACCCGAACCGGACCCGTCCAACCCTCGGGCAGATCCCGGGTCCATGTGATACAAACCGGCGGCCCGACCGAGCCTAGGCCCGGCCCGAGTCCACCTCTATACAGAACAAGAACTTGATTCACGCAGACAAATATACTATAAAAAAATGAGTTCTTATTAATATTGCAGCAAATACAATAATAGAGCTATATGTGAATGAAAATTGCGGAAGCATCGAAACCAGGACCAACATCCACCGATTCATCTATCCTAATAATGTTACATTACAAAACTGAGACTAATTAAAAAAGCAATGAACAGGCAGACATGAGACATCTGGTGAGGCAACTCATCATGGGCTACAAACATAGCAACAGATTTCAGAAAGCAAACTCTTCTTCCTCTTCAACCTCATTTAATACTGCTCTACCCGGGAAGCTTCTTAATGTTTCTGCCTTAGAATCACTTATATCCAGCAAGTACTGTAACCTAGAGACCTTTTCAGTTGCCGGGTTGCTTTGAAGATATATGACAAAGAGATCAGCAACTTCCTCCGGCAATTCCCATGATAACGGAGTTGAAGGGACAGCCTTGTCACATGCTAACAGGTCATTGAGAGAAGATACCTACCATACCACCCACAGTGAGATAAAATAAGAATTAATATTAAAACATGTCATGGAACATGCATTAGAAATATAGAATAAATTTAACCAAATTGGGCAAAGATCCCAGTGAACTATTATTGTTGTTGTTTGTCCCTGGAATTAACAGTTTTTCTGTTCAGTGCCTTTGTCAACTTCCTGTTTTGAAAAATGACATGGCTCACAAACTCCAGAATGGCCTTTCCACATCAACTCAAACTTATCACCCAACAATGGGAGTTACAGCTGAGAAAGACTAGTCTGCTTCTCTTGAAATAAAACACAGCATTTTTCAAATGAAGATCAAGCCACAGAGAAGTCACACTAGAGTTCTATGAACCATGAAAGTTTCTTAAAACAACTATGCTTCATGTACACGCCAGTTGTGCGTGCCATTTTACACGCCGGCCATTTGTCTGTACACAAACAATTTTTTTCGTTTTGTAAAGAGAGTTGTGTTCGCACGGACAAAAAAATTGTTTGTGCCGTTCTCTTCTTAAAAAATGGAGTTTAAGGACTAAAAGAAAAGATGGAGTTACAAGGAAGAATAACAAAATATAATCTATTGGAACCTCAGAAGCTACCCTATATCCGCATGGGTGAAAACACAAATTTAAGCCAATAAATAAAATAAGAAAGCATACACTGCATTTAATAGTTTACATACCACTCCTTTATGGTTTCTCTGCCTAAGAAGCGCCACTGCCTGAATGAGTGAATTTGATAGCCTAGTACGGGCAAGCTCCTGTACGACCCTTTTTGCCTTCACGGGGTTAATATTCAAATCTGTAGGGATCTTCTCGTACACCTCTTCTTCATCAAACTCTCCAGTACCCGAGGAAAACACATCATCCACTGTTTTTCTGAACAGATTTTCGCGTAAGCTCACAGAGATCATAGTGTTTATATCAATCCCGGCTTCTTTCAATTCTCTTACTTCTTTTACACTTAACCTTCCCTGACCAACAGCAGTTTCAAGTGCTGCACCCAGTTTAGTACTTGTTATGCTCTGTATGATCTTTTGTGCATAAGGAGGTGGCAGACCAACACTCTTCTGAACTTCATTCAGTTGTTCCATCTTGGACTTCGTTAACTGTCCATCAGCTAAAATGACCTCTGCTTTTTGCCTAAATGCTTGCTCAGCCAAGCCACGATGTATGTTGACTATCTCTTTATCGGTCAACCCAAGGATGACTCCCAGCTGGCTTAATAAGACAAACTCGGAGTCATCCCGCTCAGTAGTAATTTGTCCACCGAAAGGAATCATAGTAATTTCTCCGGATAGACAGTACAGCAAGTATGTTTTGTAAAGGTCAGATCTCTCACTCTCCGGAAGGTCATCTTTCAATGTTATCTCGGTCTGGACGTCTTTTCTTAAGTTTTCGCCTCTCGGCCTTACTTTCTGAAGTGATTGCATGGATTCCCATTCCTCATCCTCATATGAATGCTTCTCTTCATTATCCTTGATAGGTTCCCCGTCCTGTGGAGGATCAGATGTTACTTCATCTTCCCCTTTAATATCGGCAACCAGTCTGGTAACAACCAGGCTATTAAATGATATCATCTTTTTCAATTCTTTTGCAGAGTCGGTGCGGTTTCCAGCAGCTCGGGCCTGCTGAACATAGTTGATAAGCATCTTCCGTACCTGCACAAAATCCAAGTTGTGATATATTTGATGTGAACTTTTGTAGTGTTCACGTCGCAGCGATCGAAAGTTCAAGCAATAAACTACATAGTGTTCAGTTTGAGGGAATTAATGCCCATTGGGGACGGGGTCGTTTCCACTTGCATTAGGTAGGAAAAAAATCTCCTTCCCTTCCCTATTAACCCTCCTCCCCTTCGAAATTGACAGAATTGGAAGGAAAATAGAAAGCTTGAAATTTCCATGTGGCCTATGTTACCCTCTTGGCCCTTGCAAATATACTGTTACTTTCCCATTGAATTGAATCACAAATCTCTTTGCCTACTTTCTTTTGTGATCATATTTTCTTTTGATTACCTTATTATTCTGGAAATGAATGTTCATACTTTATAAAATGGCATTTTAATGAATCATAACTAAATGTTTTACAAAAACAATTTTTTAATTAAATTTACTAAAACATATTTTCAGAAAGAGTCGGACTTGAATAAACACCAAATATGTTAGTAAATCAGTACTGCCCGTGTCTTCGTAAAAGGCCAATTTCCTTGCTTCTCCATACCAAAATAAGGTTCCTTCTTTTGAAGGAAGGATTTGTGGGTTTCAAATTATTTCTCTCTCCTGCATAATTTATGAATTAATTTCACTTTTGGTCCGACGAGTTTTATGTCAATTCCACATTTAGTCCACATCTTTCACTTTGCCCACTTTTCATACTTGACTAATCACTAATGTTTTTTGACCATTTATGGTCCTTCTCCGGCGATTTCATCACAAGAAACATTGCCGGAAGGACCATATATGAGCGAAAACACAATAGTCATGTATCAAAAGTGGACAAAGTGAAAGACGTGAACTAAATGTGGAATTGACATCAAACTCATATGACTAAAAGTGAAATGTGTTCCTTATATAATTGTAATATTATATTACAACCTCCACCCCCCTAATATTGGGACGGAAGAGAGTGGTGTGATTTTTAAGAAAAGTAGAATGTGATTGATAATGAGTTGAAAAAGTGAGAATAAAGTAAGAATGAATTAGAGTCACACAAATGTTACCAAATATGGTATGGGACAATAATAGGGGGACATCCAGAAATGGAAAAATGGGACAATTATAGGAGGACAAAGTATAATTTATTAGAATTATTGAGAATATAGAATTATTAATATTTTATTACATAAATTACAGGAATTAGGTACGTCTGTCTATATATCATTCTTATCTCTCCTCTCTCAGCCCGACTCCACATCCACTTTATCCAAACGGGGTAATATAATTGAAAATACTCCACTCTTGCAGCCAAACACTGATAGGAAAATCATACTTTTAGTGTCCCATTTGTGTTGACATTTGATCAGAGATTACAGAATGTTAAACAATTTGACGATGTGCAATTTTCTTGACATTTTATAGTTAACTCATGCACAACTTTTGTGTATGACAGGCAACAATTTGCAGGTTCATTAGATACTTACTGCTTTACTAGCAATTGACAATGCAGATTCCCTGCTTATGCGTAAACCATAAGCAGCCTTTCTCACAGATTTCTTCACTTCAAAATCATACCATTCCACACCTCCAGCAATTGCTTCCTTCACCACCTGTATAAAACATTTACACAATGGAGCAAGGAGAAAACAAAGAGTGCAATCACCTCAAATGAATAAATAATAAGTGCTATATCCTTAAAAGTAGGAATCAAATGATGTGATCTTTCTCAACAAAAAACTTAAGCTGATTGATAGATGGACAACACATTTGTCATATAATGTGTAAATGTGTAATCTCAGTCCAAGGACTTCAATTTTTAGCAAATGTATCAATTCCAGGTCGCGATATGTTATTGTATTTGCAACTCTTTTTCAATTGGTACAGCAGTACAACAATTGTTTGTAGATTTGAAGGAGGATAAAAAAAATCCCATTTTTTAGTGATTGCTGAATATTTACCTATTGACCTTGCGACTTATGAAGCAAAAAGGGCAAGGCCTGTTTAGAGAATAGTGTATACCTTTTCAAATAATACGCCACAAATTTCAGCATGCAGCGCTTCAACAGTGTGTTTGGGAATGCAAAGCATAATCTGTAACCGCTCCAATGAATTTACATGCTCATCACTAAGTTCTCCATCAGAGACTGCTTGCTGAAGCTTTTGCTTGTATATATCTGAGGTCCAAGTAGAAAACGAAATATTTATTATCATAAATACTCCCTCCGTTCTTAAATATGAGTCCTCTTAGGCTTTGGCACGGGTTTTAAGAGGAAAATAATAGGGGTAGTGTAAAAGGTGTAGTGAGTTGTGGGTAAATGAAAAAGTAGGAAAGAGAAAGGGGTAATGGTAATAAAAGTGGGGGTATAAAGGTATTTTGATTGAAAAAACTTACCAAAAAGGGAAAGAGGGACAAATAATTAAAAACGTCCCAAAAAGGAATGCGAGACAGTTAATAAAGAACAGAGGGAGTATTAGATATGCCAAAAAATATACCATCCTCCGTATCGAATTAGTTGCAACATTGGAATTTATGCACTATTCATGTACTCTACTTTGACTACATTTTATTTATTAACATGTGTGAAATATTTTTTTTGAAAAATATTTTTGAATTCGTCTCAATACAAAGTTTCATGATCTGATTTTTAATTTTTTTTACTAATAGAGAATGATATAATGACGGTCAAAGTTGTGCATTGGCAAACGTGAAAAAGGAAATGTTGCAACTAAAAAAGAACGGAGGGAGTAATAACAGGTAAATTCATAGACTGAAAAACTCAATCCATGTCTATACACCTTTTTTGTATTCCACTCCACGAGAATAGAAAAATACTTGATATTTTGCACATAAGTTGACACAAAAAGTTGGTATGAACCACAAACTAGCTAATGAAAACTTTTAGAGCAGTAAGAAAGTAAATGCCTATTAGATTCTGGCAAATTTGATGGGACTCGCACGAATAATTCACATATGACTACCTGCATGTATCTCAATTGCTTTCTGTGGATCAAAACGCAACTCTTCACAAAGATTCTGAAGGTATACTGCTTTACTATCAGTGGTTGTCAAATCACCAGAACGTACAGCCTGAGCAAGTCGTTTCCGATATACTTTTGAAGTTAAATCTAATGTAATCGCCCCTGCTTCTCTTTTTCCTAAACCAAATATGTTCCTCAAATGATTCAAGGCGGTAAACTGCAAAACAGAGGGATGTGAAAAGCTAAATATATAGATATCCATAGATAACAGAAAATAAGAGAAAAATGGATAAAAATATGGATTTAAGCAGTGGCAACATCAGAAATTTTTCCTAAGAGACTATTAGAAAAATCATGAATCATCCAGAACAATCTCTCTGTGTTGTAGTACAGGGGTAAGGCTGCATACATCTGCCCCCCCCCCCCCCCCACCCCTTTGCGGCACGGTGGTAGCATTGTTGTTGTAGACTATTAGAAAACAAATTAAAAAGACAGCACCTTATTTTCTTCCATGCGACCAGTTGCTAGAGAGTCTGCTACATACGCTTGGTAGAGAAGTTTTAAGTCATTGATATTTTTATCATCGTCATAAATGCCACCTGAGAAAAGAAAAATTGAACATTATTCTCAGATAATGGATTAAAATGATCAAGCACCATGATGCCTGCACAAATACTGGATGGGGAAACAAAAGGAAAACAAAGGGAAAAGTAGAGCCCACCAGACAATGAAACAGGCCCAACTCCTCGTGCAAAACGACTAGCATCAGAATGCTTTTTCAATGAAATTAGCAAATTATTAAAAGCCAAAATTTTGTCAAGCTCTTCAATGATAAGCGTAGCTTCCCCACTGAGAATCAAATGTGAATCAATTAAAATATGACTAAATTTATGAACAATGAACCACAAAAAACAATTCTGAAAGAAAAAACAGATAAGCAAAAGGTTTCATATTCATCCATGATTATATGGTAACAACTAACAATGTACTAGGCATGAGTAAACCACAACTTCTTTCAACCTCTTCTCATGAAAAATTTCAGGTGAGCACTTTCCACCTTTTCCCAAAACTAGTTTCCAAGTCCTCCCTTTTTCCTCATTTGGAGAACAAAAAGAATATGCTCACCACTTCAGGTAAATAGAAAACAAGGAAGGTGGTTCATTAAACAAGACCTTTCAACTGGGCAGCGGTTTAAGTGTTGAACGTCAATTTGTTATTCATTTTAGCTTTTTCCCTTTTTAAGTTTCTACACTGGCTACCACTTCATCTCATCGTCAGATATGAACGCAAACATCAATGGGCAACAAAACAAGAGCTTTTCCCACTGTTGATGCTTGCTTCATATAATGGCTGAACCATCTTCTTTGAATGGGACTTTGATTAATGAAAAACTAACTGTTGGGCGCTGCTGAGTGCCAAGAAGGCCCAACTTCTTTTTCTAATTAAAAGTTGTACAGTAGTAAATATAAAGCACAGAGTAGATATTTAAATATATTTTATATCATACTTGCATATCTCTATAGTTTTAATTTAGTATTACAATTTTGAATGTGTGCTCTTACCAAAAAAAAATCATTATAAAAACTGGACTGTTGTACATGTTTGACAAATTGGAAACAAGTTTGGCATTTTTTGCATGTGTTAGAACCTCCAAGAATCCAGAACAATTACAGCAGGATGAATAAGAAACACAATGGGAAAAACTTTATTGAATCCAAGAAGATGAACAGTAATCTGTACAAAGGCAGAAGCCCCCAAAGCCGAAGCTCCCAAAGAAAGAGATTATTAGTCTCAGTCTTCCCAAGTCCCAAGACAAAGAGTCCAAAAAAGCCAGCCCGCTAACTCCCCCTTACATGCCTATTTATACCAGAATACTACATAAGCCCTTCTTACTAATATTCTTATTAGTACTTCTATTATTAGTCTTATATAAGTGGGTTCCTAACAATACTCCCTCCCTAAACATCCACCTTGTCCTCAAGGTGGGTAATAGGAGAAAGCCAAAATCTTTTGCTTTCTCTTCCTCTTCCTTGTTCCTCTCCCTTCCCAATATCGAACTGATTGTGGGACCATGAACCTTTCCAAAGATGTCTGGCAGCTTACAAACTCCTCTAACAATCTAGATCCTGATGCCATGTGTTGCCTGATGTGTATTGGGATATTGACAAACAAGGAAAAAGTTGCACATTGATACTGGGATATTGCCATAACTATTCTTTCCAGCAAGTAGGATTCTACTTCTATATCTCCAACATCTTCTCCTAGCTTGTTTTCCGTTACAAGAACATAAGTGGAACAGTTCAGTTTTGCTTCAGCTTCCAGTCCATTAACAGTAGCCTGAGTAATAGGACCCAGGGCCATACTGATTTTATCCAACTGGTATTCCAAAGTATCAGCAACATACTTCTCCATCCCTCTCCTAAAAACAATAATGCTCAACACCTTGTCCTCTTCTAACCCCTTTTTATTACCCATCATAGCAATACCCTCACATCTGAAACTATCAAACTTGTTCAATGATTTCAGCCCTTCCAAGGAATTGTTTAATGAATGACAGTATATCATTTCAGATTTTAAAACATTCAGCCAGTTCATCTCCGTTACGCAACTAGACTTGTCAGCATCATGAATCGTTTTGCGATTTCCAAAAATGATAGCAGATTCTCCCGAAACAAGCCCAAACCCCTCCTCCTGAGCCTCTGTACCAGATCTATTTTTACCAATGCCTAATTTTTCTGAAAATCTTTCCTTTACTTGTAAAGAAAGTTGACTTTTGACAAGAACAGTTTCAAAAGCAATTAGAGCTCTATTTCCAAAAGAACATGGTTGAATAAACTTGTCATCAATAGAAACTTGGTTGGAAATTAAATCCACATCCTCTGCAAGATTAGAATAAACATAATCTGGCCCTTGAATAACCTGTCGATTCTCCTTGATTTCGTCTTTCTCATTCACTTGCTTGATTACAGGTTCAGTCGGTTCCATCTGAACCTTCTTTGTTGACTGGGAAATTTCTAGCGCTGATTGAGAAGCTTGTGAACAAGAAGTTGTTGGCGACCTCAATGACTCCTGTTTTGATGATTCCTGCGAACTGAATGAAGAAGTTCTCGATTGCGAACTGGAAAAATTCTTCGTGACTTCGATGAATCTCTGCTTTCTGTCTTCCCTGTATTTGGCCGGCGTTTAGCTGGAAAATCCCTAATCAAGTCTTCCTTTAGAGCCTTCCAACTATCTTCCCTCTTTTGATACTCCCACCACCATTTAAACCAGCCACACGCGGCTTCCCCCATAGCCTCTTCTGCGACATCCACTTTGAATTTTTCTGCAATAGCTTGAACTCGGAAATATTTTTCCATCTTCTCTATCCATTCGTACACTTCATCCTCATAGAATAGAGGTAATTCCTCTGTCTGTGAATTAGCTGACTTCCTAGAATTTACTTTAGAAGAATAAGGCGCACTCTGATGCGAAGAGAGATGATAATAATGATGAGAACTCTGCGAAGAGCTATGTGAAGAGCTTGGCGAAGAAACAGTTCGATCGCCAGATTTTCTGCGACGCCTCAGATCTTCTGATTCCTCTGGATTCGCCGACTTTAGCAGATTATGATGATTTCTACGATGCTTGTGAGGTTCGCGATCACGCCTCGATGCAGAATCACCCGACTGATTGTCCGCTCCTTCAGAACTATCTTTATACCTCGTATCCCCATGGCGTGACGTACGGTGCGATGAAGTCGATTTATGCGATCGACTCCCTGATCGACCTGGAGACCTATTATGCAAATCCGCGATACTGGCTTGCATCGTGGCCAGCGTAGTCGCGATACTAGTTTGAAACTCGCGCAGACTTCTATCCATACTCGCTTGCCTCTCACGTTGACTTCTTTCCAATTCCGTCATTCTTCCATCCATCAAGGTCATCCAGCGATCAATTGTCTCTGATACCAATGTTAGAACCTCCAAGAATCCAGAACAATTACAGCAGGATGAATAAGAAACACAATGGGAAAAACATTATTGAATCCAAGAAGATGAACAGTAATCTGTACAAAGGCAGAAGCCCCCAAAGCCGAAGCTCCCAAAGAAAGAGATTATTAGTCTCAGTCTTCCCAAGTCCCAAGACAAAGAGTCCAAAAGCCTGCCCGCTAACTCCCCCTTACATGCCTATTTATACCAGAATACTACATAAGCCCTTCTTACTAATATTCTTATTAGTACTTCTATTATTAGTCTTATATAAGTGGGTTCCTAACAGCATGTTTGGTATATCTGTACTAAGGAAACAGGTTTGCAGTTTTTTATAGAAGGAGCTTCAAACAAAAGAATCACAGTACTCTCTGTATTAAAAGTGGAGAAAGTGGAAAATAAGTGCATGAAGTAAACAAGACAAAACTTTGGAGTTCACAGATAGTTGTAGTCATACGGTACTCTTGTCCTGGACTTCAATATGGTTACAGCTCTTGATATGTTCTCTTCTACAAGCTTTCTTGTATGCTCCCTGAACATGCCTTCTGCAAGCTGTGACGGGAAAAAAATTTGTCAACAGGTGTGCATGTCAGCATATGTAGGTTCGGATAGTGTTTCAGTATTTCCATTTAGTACTTACTCCTTGGACTATATTGTTATTCCATATTTAGTACCTAATGGCCTATCTGGAAAAGAGTTGTCTCCCTATTGAACGCTGAATAGTAAGAATTGACTATTAACGCTCCACTAAGTGGATGAATACGCCCTCAATCCAATGGTTCAAACTATCAACATTTATGGTATCACTCTACCAAATTTTAAGATTAGAGATCTCCCCCAACTATTGCCAAATGGACACATATTGATCTACCATTGCAGTTAATAATGGAAGTTGAGAACCATAACAAGAGGACCATTTTTTCTAGGAGAGCGTTCTTGTCCAAATTGGAAGTAGAACATTAAAAAAGGATTTAAAACAACGGTTTGAGACAAAAGTGGGAATTGATTCAATTTATAGACAGGCGTTGGTAATTTAAGAAACTTCCAAATAAGTAGCAACTGCTTGGTTACTAGGAACTGCAAAAGAAGTAGCATCACTTTGAAGCAATACCTCATCAGGAAGTCGGTAAAAAAGCTGTGCTTCCCTGAGATTAACCAGTTGGTTCACACTAACATCTGTAAACATTTAACATGCGGAACACGGATATTATTGTATCAAATGAAACAAGAAATAACCCGCATATCAATCCGAAGTAACAGAGAACATTGAAATGCAATACCTCGGTCAACAGGTTTAAGTTTGTTAGCATAAAGCCGTTGTGCACAGTCGCGGACAGCAATTTCAATCTAATAATAATAATAAATAGAAACATTAACATATGATATACAGTATATACCATGAGAGTGAACAAAGATTATCCCCATGAACAACACACCTAATTTCCAATTGACCTTTAACCCATAGTGTGAGGCATGCTATCAGGTTTTAGCTTAAAATATAATATTAAGACTTGGACATATATAGAAGTGAAAAGCAAAGGAGGCAGATAAATATGATATACCTGAGAATCAGAGACCTTGAACACACGTTTCCAAGGTAAAAGGAAAGATGATGCATCTCCAAATACAAGCGTCGAAACATATATGAGCTTCTGAAATGCCTGCACTGAATATGTCAAGAATGGTCAAGTTTCTACTTTCACTTGGTAAAAATTAGGCAGCAGCCTACGCGATCTATTATTAAATATTTTGTAACTAAAGTAATGAATCACCCGTCTCTGTTCTGTATTAGAATCACGATCACCAGTTTCAAGTCTTTGCCTGAAAAGACGCCTTCCAATCTGAAAATGAAACCGTTGATAGTTACAATACATATAATAATGTCATGTCAACCTAAACCTATTAAACATGTCTACATGGTTTCTCTTGTTAAGTCTTAAGTTAAAAACATAACATGAGAATACCTCCATATGCATAGTAGCTGCATCCGGATCGTCAATACCCAATGCACTTTTAAATTTTGTTATAGTTTCCACTTCATTGCCCCTAAGATCTTCATTTCCATGAGGAATGACAGCAGATACATACCTACAACAACAACAACAAAAACATCCAAGCCTTAGTCCCAATAAATTTGAACTTGTTTGTGACTCTATTTTACAATTTACATCATAGAAATTTGACTTTATTTTGGAAAAAAAAAGATTGTTTTTTGTTAGAGGCTTCAATTTTTTATTGTTAAATTTAAAAAAGAACAGCTACTTTTGTATGCATTGCTCAATTGGCTTCCTGACTTACCGGCAGTATATATCACAGAGCTCTGCATTGAAAGCCTCATGCTGCTTGTTGACGCCATATCTTACAAATTAAACAAAGTAAGAGCAAAGAAATAACTCATGGAAAAAAGGATGTCATTAGATTTATGTAATTCTGACTTGTTTGCTATAGCTTCAATAGCTTCCTTCTTCAGAGCGGACGGGTCATCACAGCCAGCCACATAATTATGCAAATTCAAAGCCGCAACTTGTGGTGCACAAGAGTTCAAAGCGTAAGCCGCCCCAGCTCCGGCAGCTCCAAGTGCCACAGCCCCACCCAATCCGACATTACGGGACCCACCGAAACGATATCCAAGACTATATCCGGCAGCTATGGCGCCGGAAACAATAACGGCCGAGCAAGCAATCCTAACGGGAGGTGACATGGAGTCCACCAAGGACTGGATGCCGGAAGGCTCCCTCTTGGCTCCGAATACATCCGGCTTGACAGGAATCGCGGCGGTAGTAGTTGATTGAGAAGAAGAACTCGACGCGGAGGAACTATCGGAAGATGAGCGAACGGTGGAGATTCTGTACCGGAAGTTGTGGCGGTTGCGAGACGTGGTGGAAAGGCGTAGAGGGGTGGGGTTGAGGAAAGGAGGTATAAGGATGGTGCGGTTAGGAGATGGGCTGGTAGAGAGGAGAAGTGATGGGTTCATCGCGTGAGAGGAGGAGAAGAGGTGAAATGTGGAGTACGTGTGTAGGGTTTAATGGTTTAACAGAAATTACACTCAAAAAGATGGAGGAGAAAGACGAGAGCGGAAAAGGCCTCTAATCCACGGAAGTTGAACTTGAAACTAAACAAATTAGAAATACTAGCCTTGCTATCCAAATTCCGCAAATTACTACTCAGCAGTAAGTACTCCTTTTTGGTTACTTCGCTCTTTACTTAGGCTATCAAGGAGGAGGGTGCCAGGCCAGTTTGAACCCTCGAATCAAAAAATCCGTTAAGATGAGTGGGTTCATTTTGGGCACAAATCTAGAGGCCTCTATTTTTAAGAAAAATGTAAAATAATAATCTCAACTATTGTCGATCCGCTACTAATAATCTCAACTATCAACTATTCCTGGGTGGTCCCAACTATAGGTACCATTTTCCAAAAATAGTATCTAACTTGCTACAACCTGGTATAGCAGGTCAAATTTAAATGTGAACTATGTGTAAGCTATAAATAATCTCAACTATAGTCGATCTTCTTTTATTAATCCCAATTAAGCTATAAAATAAGGTAGATTCTATGGTACTCATAAGGTATCATACCTTTGTCCACATGGATCAATGAGAATGTTGCAGTTGAATTATTTAAATCTAAATTAAAAATGATATAATGATGTGGACCAATCAAGTGAATGGTAGGTACGGTACCCCATTTTTTAAATGGGTACCGGAGTTGTCACCCTAAAATAAAACATGACGAATAACAAATAGTCTTTCAAATTTTAACCTATAAACAACCAAGTTTTGGGGCCGGCGACCTCCAAATCGCTCGGCGTTTAGTTTTGGGGCCAGCGACTTCCCAATCGCTCGGCGTTTTTCGGTTACGCAGCCAACCGTAGGCGTACAATATTCATCAAGGTCGTAGGTTTTCTCGCGCAGGTTGGGATTGGTAAGCGTGGATAGAGCAGAGGAGTCATGATGGTGGTTAGCTGGAATTGTCGTGGCTTAGGTAATTTGGCTACAGTGCAAGTGCTAATTGATCCGATTCAGTCCAAAAGGCCAAGAATTCTTTTCCAGATGGAAACGAAGACTTCACAAGAGAGATGTGAAGAAGTTCGAAGCCAATTAGGTTTTCAGCCGTGCTTTGCAGTTGATAGCAATGGGCAGAGCGGAGGGCTCTGTACTATGTGGCGTGAAAACATTGCAATTGAAATTCTAGGATTTGAAAGCAACTTCATCGATTGCTTAGTTAAACTGGAACTGGACGACCCTCAATGGAGATTCACGGGATATTACGGATATCCTGAACGCAGCAGAAGGCGTGAGTCTTGGGAGCTGATTAAACGTCTGTCTCGGAATTCTGGGAAACTTTGGCTTATTATGGGAGACTTTAACGACATCTTGTTTGAAAGTGAGAGGAGAAGCAGAACTCCTCAACCTCAATGGTTAATCAGGGGTTTTAAGGAAGCACTTTGGAGCAGTGGTCTTAAAGATGTTGCTTTCGAGGGTTATCAGTGGACCTGGGAAAGGGGTAGAGGAACACCACGATGGATTGAGGAAAAGTTGGACCGAGTGCTGGCAAATGAAGACTGGTTATCGTTGTTCTCTGGTTATCAAGCTAGTTCGCTGGAGGGCCCATCCAGCGATCACCTCATGTTGTATGTAAGAATAGTTAGGGAGGGCAGGAATCGGGGAAGACGCTCTTTCAAGTTTGAAAATATGTGGTTCAAAGAAGACCAATGCAGGGAAACTATACAACGTACTTGGCTGAATTCTCAGAGCTTGTATATTTGGCAGAGGTTAAAAGGGTGTGGTATTGAGCTTGATCGTTGGAGCAAGTCTCGGTGTGTTGGATTTCAGACTCGAATTGAAGTTTGTAAAAACATATTGGCGGCTTTGTGGGCAGAAGGGGGGCAGTGGAATGGTGCTGAATTCCAAAGGGTGAAAGATGTGTTATTAGATTTGCTTTAGAAACAAAACATTTTTTGGAGGCAGCGAGCAAAGGAGTTTTGGCTTAAAGAGGGCGACAAAAATACAAAATTTTTTCACAATGCGGTAAAGCAAAGAAGGAGGCAGAATCAGTTGAAAGGGCTTCTTCTACTTCCCAGTGGCGAGTGGGAAAGGAATAGAGATAAACTAAGAGTAATGATTCATGATTATTTCTCTGAGATATTTGATTCCAGTAGTACCAACATTGAAGTTGGGCACCTGGAAGGCATAGCACGTGTCTCTGCAAGTCAAAACCAAAATCTTCTAAGATCAATTACTGCTCTTGAAGTAAAAAGGGCGGTTTTTTCTATGCATCCCGAGAAAGCTCCAGGGCCGGATGGCTTTAATCCGGGTTTTTATCAGCATTATTGGGACATTTTGGGGGAGGACATTGTAAAATTCTGTGAGCACCTATTCACGGAAAGGGAGATACCAACGGAGGTGAACCAAACTAATTTAGTCCTAATCCCGAAGAAAGGTAAGCCGGAGTCCTTAAGCGATTGGCGGCCTATTGCGCTTTGCAATGTTTTATTCAAAAATTTTGCCAAAGTGCTTGCTAATAGACTAAAATGTATTTTGGATAAGTTTGTCTCTACAAATCAAAGTGCGTTTGTACCTGGCAGATCAATTGTAGATAATGTTATGGTGGCATTTGAATCTATTCATTATCTAAAACAGAAGAGGCAGGGGAAAGATGGTTATGTTGCTCTTAAATTGGACATGAGTAAAGCGTATGATAGGGTTGAGTGGGGATATCTTGAAACTGTTATGAAAACTATGGAGTTTGACCAGAAATGGATAAATTTAATAATGGAATGTATTGGTTCAGTGGAGTATTGTATCCCAATGGATGGTAATGTGGTGGGTCCGATTAAGCCTAAAAGAGGTTTGCGGCAGGGAGACCCGCTGTCTCCTTATTTGTTTATCCTGGTCGCGGAGGGGCTGAGTGCTATGATTCGTAAACAGGAGAGCATGGGAAATATTGTGGGTATATCGGTGGCGAGAGGGGCGCCTCGAGTGTCACATTTGTTTTTTGCTGACGACAGTTATCTTTTTTTTAGGGCTAGAGATGGGGAATGCCAAACGGTTAAAAATCTTTTGCAATCTTATGAGGAAGTCTCGGGTCAAAAGGTTAACTACCAAAAGTCCGAATTTGGGAGGGAATTCCAGGATTCATGTGAGCAGTTTTTTGGGGGTAAACAACGAAGAAACAAATCCGAGATATTTAGGCCTCCCGGCTTTGATAGGCAGGAAGAAGATGGATATTTTGGGTTATTTACGAGAGCGCATTCTGAAGATAATTTAAAGCTGGAACAACAGATTCCTTTCTAAGACGGGTCGTGAAATCATGCTGAAAACAATTGTCCAGGCTATGCCAACTTACGCGATGAACGTGTTTCTGCTCCCTAAAGAGTTGTGTTCGGAGATAGAGGGCATCATGAACGGTTATTGGTGGCGGGGATCAGATCATTCCCGACGGGGGCTACGATGGAAGAGTTGACAATCCCTTTGTTATCCAAAACATAAGGGTGGAATGGGTTTCCGGTCGTTATGCGAGTTGAATATAGCGATGCTTGGGAAACAAGCTTGGAGGATTATTAAAAGTCCTGACTCGTTTGTGAGTAGAATTTTCAAAGCAAAATATTTTCCTAACTCTACATTTTTGCAGGCTAAATTGGGTTGTAATCCCTCATTCGTGTGGAGTAGTTTGATTCAAACTCAGGAGTTTGTTGAACGAGGCCTGTGCAAGAAAATAGGGAACGGTCAGACGACGTCCGTGTGGAGGGAGCGGTGGCTGCCATGGGTGGGGGACGGTAGGATTCATACACCTCCTCCAACCGGAATTGCTGACATGAACGTGGTAGCACTTCTATCTGAGGATGGGCAATGCTGGAATGTCCAAAAGATTGACGAATTGTTCTCGATGGAAGAGAGGAAGGCCATACTTTCTATTCCATTAAGTAGAAGGAAGGTCGACGATGGTGTGTGGTGGAATGAGGACTCAAAAGGAGTGTACACTGTAAGACCTGGGTATAGAGTGTTGCGGGGTGATTATGATGTTAGCGGTTGGTTGGTGTGGACGAAAATGTGGAACTTGTGTATCCTTCCCAAAATAAAATGTTTCTTTTGGCAGCTTATGACGGGGATTTTGCCTACTGCGTCTAACTTGAGAAGGAGAAGAGTTAATATTGATAATGTTTGTAAGGTGTGTGAGGAAGATTCTGAAATGGAAGATCATTTATTCCGATATTGCAGAGTCGCTGAAGCTGTTTGGCAGCACCTGGGCATTCGTTTCATGCGACAAGGTGAGTCTTTTAATGATTGGGTTAAAGGCTGTTTTGATAACCTACAACAAGAAGAATTGGGTTGCTTTATTACTAGTTTGTGGAGTATCTGGAAGTCGCGAAACGACATGGTTTGGAAGCATAAGACAATAACATGGCAGCAAGTGGTGGAGGTTGGGGCTGCTGTCTTTAGGGGTTGGAAGGCTGCACAAGGCGATACTTCAGGAAGAATCAAAGTGACGGAGGGGTCCACCGGCTGGAAGAAGCCGTCGGTGGGCACAAACAAAGTTAATGTGGATGCGGCCCTAGATTTGGGACGGGGGAACGAGCATGGGCTTGGGTGGCTAGAGACGAAGAGGGCTGCTTCCTGCGGGGCGACTGCCAGACAGTTTCGGCAGCTTGGACAGCGGGGATTTCAGAAGCCATTGGGGTTCGGGAAACTTTAGCATGGATAAAAGTCAGGAATGGTCTAGAACTAAATTGGAAACTCATTCCCAATTGGTTGTCTCCGGTTTAATGGATAGAGTTGGAGAGTCGTATTTTGATACGATCATTGAAGATATTAGACATATTCTTCGTACCGAAGCTAGTATTGATGTCATTCATTGTAAGAGGTTCGCGAATGGAGTAGCTCACAAATTGGTCGGGGCTACACTTTATATGACGGATGATTATTTACAATTTTATTTTCCACTTGATTATGTTGTATCCCTTTTGGAAAACGAAAAGTTGAATTAATAAAATGTTTAGTTTTCCTTTCAAAAAAAAACTTTCAATTTTAAAAAAATATAATTTTTTTTATAAATTTCCAAATTAAATATTATAAACATTTAAAACAATTATGAATGATGGAGTATATGGGTC